TGGTAGGTGATCAAATACTTATGTCATGCAATAAAATGCAAATTAATTACTTAAAAATCATACAATGTGATTTTCTGGATTTTTGTACCTATGATAAAAATTACAGACCTCTACATACTTTGTAAGTAGGAAAACCTGCAAAATCGGCAGCGTATCAAATACTTGTTCTCCCCACTGTATATACCTACATACATATACAAAAGTATGTGGACACCCCTTCAAATTAGTGGATTCGGCTATTTCAGCCACACCTGTTGCTGACAGGTGTATAAAATCGAGCACACCGCCATGCAATCTCCATAGACAAACATTGGCATTTCCAACAACTACTGTGGATATAGATACTTTTGTACCTGTTTCCTCCAGGATCTTCACAAGGTCCTTTGCTGTTTTTCTGGGATTGATTTGCACTTTTCGCACCAAAGTATGTTCATCTGTAGGAAACAGAACGCGTCTCCTTCCTGAGCGGTATGACGGCTGCGTGGTCCCATGGTGTTTATACTTACATACTATTGTTTGTACAGGTGAACGTGGTACCTTCAGGCTTTTGGAAATTGCTCCCAAGGATGAACCAGACTTGTGGAGTTCTACAATTTATTTTCTGAGGTCTTGGCTGATTTCTTTTGATTTTCCCATGATGTCAAGCAAAGAGGCACTGAGTTTGAAGGTAGGCCTTGAAATACATCCACAGGTACACCTCCAATTGACTCAAATGATGTCAATTAGCCTATCAGTACCACTCTGTGGTATGCGACCTGTGCAGCAACGGGGACGCAGAGAAACGTTGTGAGGTGTGCTGTGTCAACCTCTGTGAGTTATGTTGTCAAGCACACAGGTGAGTGCAAACATTCAATTGGTATGCCTAACCTGACCCGTCGCCAGACCTCAGTCTTAAGGGGGGCATATGAAATGCATGGGAGGGCAGGGCACAATTATTATTAGCCTACAGTACGTATATTCATAATAATCGTATACTCTATTTGCGCAGCACGTAATCATCACATTAAAACATAACCAACAGCAATATGACCAGGTAGCCTATAGCCTACACCACATTACATAGAAGCAATGTTATGAATATCCATAAAACACGGATTACAACCAACACGTGCACATGGTGTACTCAAAGAGAGACAAAAACAGCCCCATTGAGCTATTATCATCTAGCACACTGGCAAAACCAGTATTATCTCCACGTAACGGCAATTGATTCACCACTAAAAACTCCAGCATATCAATTACAGCTGACATGTAGTATCTGTTGCGAGCCAGTTGCTCTGAATATAAAAGAGTGGAAATCTCTTTTCCTGTCTCTCTACGTTTTTCTGAATCTCTCCACATTGCTTCACAGGCTAAATGTTCTTTTGAAGCTGCATGCTTATTTAAGCCCTTGCCTGTTCCAATTGCATGTTTCCAATCATTAAATCCCTTAATGGAGAAGGTCGCGTCCGATGATACAGATTTGAATTTCCTGCATGCATAACAAAATGCGGAGTCCTTTTCCACCGAGTACTCAAGCCAGTCCCTGTTCAAATACCAGCTAGAGGAAAATGATCGTTTTTTTGAACCAAACATTTTGACTGGATATTTCCTCAACACAACCTGTTTGGGTTTGTCCATGCCGAGGTCACTCACACCCACTGATTCAACAGTCAGTTGTGGCCCAAATGCTGCCCCAGTCGCGGTTGCACTTGACCTGCAGGTCCTGCCAGTCCCAGGGTCGGACTCCATGGAGCTACTAGCATCAGGCTCAGACTGTCGTCCAGGGTCTTCTTCTCCAACTACAACATCAGTCGGTGTCGTATCCAATTTGGCAGAGGAGACTGTTGGTGGGCTTTTCAACCACTTACGGATATCCATGACGAACTGAAGCGAGTAAGCCGGCGAAAACTCATCCAGCTTTCAAAAATGCGCGGTAACTGTTGAGCGGCTTCACTGACGTAGGCTACGTCACGTACGTAGCCTAACGTTCTTTTTATTAAGGCCGTGATAGGCTGTTGCAGTGTAGATTCCCATCAATCAAACAAAATCCCACCATTGTTTCTTTATATTTTTAATGTTTTAATGATAAAGAATGCAACATTAATGCAACACAAAATTAGCAACTATTATAATATAAAATTAAAGTAATTTTTTTAAGAGATCTCTGCCTCAAGAGGGGGGGGGGGCACAAGCATTTTTGGGGGCGGACCCGGCCCCCTATGGCCCGCCCATAGCGACGGGTGTGTGCCTAACTCACGAGTCATGACCAATGTTCCACTTTGTTGCAAGTTAACTAGGATAATGGGGGGTTAATGGGGTCCGTTTTAGCTTTGAAATAGCTGATGAACTGGCCACAATTATTATAACATGGTAATTACATAGGCATGTAATTACTGTGGGGTTTATTGTGACCTACCATATGAGTTCACCATCTCCACCTTCCTGACCCTAGTCGTATTCATTTAAATGTAGTGACAAATGTTAATCCATAATGCAGGTCTGTGTGTGTGTTTTGTCTTTCTGCCTGTCACAGAGCCTTGAAGAGTGTTTGTTATACGGGTGGAGAAAAAAAATTAAAAAAAAATCAGAAATCTTCTGTCCAAAAATGATGCAGAAAAATTAATCCATGCATTTGTTACTTCTAGATTAGACTACTGCAATGCTCTATTTTCCGGCTACCCGGATAAAGCACTAAATAAACTTCAGTTAGTGCTAAATACGGCTGCTAGAATCCTGACTAGAACCAAGAAATTTGATCATATTACTCCAGTGCTAGCTTCCCTACACTGGCTTCCTGTTAAGGCAAGGGCTGATTTCAAGGTTTTACTGTTAACCTATAAAGCGTTACATGGGCTTGCTCCTACCTATCTTTCCGAGTTGGTCCTGCCGTACATACCAATACGTACGCTACGGTCACAAGACGCAGGCCTCCTAATTGTCCCTAGAATTTCTAAGCAAACAGCGGGAGGCAGGGCTTTCTCCTATAGATCTCCATTTTTATGGAACAGTCTGCCTACCCATGTGAGAGACGCAGACTCGGTCTCAACCTTTAAGTCTTTACTGAAGACTTATCTCTTCAGTAGGTCATATGATTGAGTGTAGTCTGGCCCAGGAGTGTGAAGGTGAACGGAAAGGCTGGAGCAACGAACAGCCCTTGCTGTCTCTGCCAGGCCGGTTCCCCTCTCCACTGGGGTTCTCTGCCTCTAACCCTGTTGCAGGGGCTGAGTCACTGGCCTGCTGGTGCTCTTTCATGCCGTCCCTGGGAGGGGTGCGTCACTTGAGTGGGTTGAGTTACTGACGTGATCTTCCTGTCTGGGTTGGCGCCCCCCCCCCCCTTGGTTTGTGCTGTGGTGGAGACCTCTGTGGGCTATACTCGGCCTTGTCTCAGGATTGTAAGTTGGTGGTTGGGGATATCCCTCTAGTGGTGCGGGGGCTGTGCTTTGGCGGAGTGGGTGGGGTTATATCCTTCCTGTTTGGCCCTGTCCGGGGGTTTCTTCGGATGGGGCCACAGTGTCTCCGGACCGCTCCTGTCTCAGCCTCCAGTATTTATGCTGCAGTAGTTTATGTGTCGGGGGGCTGGGGTTAGTTGGTTATACCTGGAGTACTTCTCCTGTCTTATCCAGTGTCCTGTGTGAATTTAAGTATGCTCTCTCTAATTCTCTCGTTCTCTCTTTCTCTCTGAGAACCTGAGCCCTAGGACCATACGTCAGGACTACCGGGCATGATGACACCCTGCTGCCCCCAGTCCGCCTGGCCTTGCTGCTATTCCAGTTTCAACTGTTCTGCCTGCGGCTACGAAACCCCTACCTGTCCCAGACCTGCTGTTTTCAACTCTAAATGATCGGCTATGAAAAGCCAACTGAGAGACCTGAGCCCTAGGACCATACGTCGGGACTACCGGCCGTGGTGACTCCTTGCTATCCCCAGTCCGCCTGGCCTTGCTGCTATTCCAGTTTAAACTGTTCTGCCTGCGGTTATGGAACCCCTACCTGTCCCAGACCTGCTGTTTTAAACTCTAATGATCGGCTATGAAAAGCCAACTGAGATTTATTCCTGATTATTATTTGACCATGCTTGTCACTTATGAACATTTTTGAACATCTTGGCATGGTTCTGTTATAATCTCCACCCGGCACAGCCAGAAGAGGACTGGCCACCCCTCATAGCCTGGTTCCTCTCTAGGTTTCTTCCTAGGTTTTGCCTTTCTAGGGAGTTTTTCCTAGCCACCGTGCTTCTACACCTGCATTACTAGCTGTTTGGGGTTTTAGGCTGGGTTTCTGTACAGCACTTCGAGATATTAGCTGATGTAAGAAGGGCTATATAAAATAAAATTGATTGATTGATTGATTGGAGAAAGAACCTGCAGCCCAGGTCACTGTTTTTATAACTACATCAAGTTTTTGTGCCTAAGGATAAGGCTGTTTTAGGATTAGTGCCCATGTTTAATGTTTATATACAAAGCCGTAAATTACACAAGGCTTTAGTATCGACGCATCAGAAAATCCAGGCTTAACACATTCCTATCAAACATATTTGTAAATGTGTGCCTTTGTTTATATCTGTGAAAACTACACAGGCTCTGAGATAAGTGATTTCAGTCTGGGGTTTGGCCCACTCTAGTAAGCCTATAGAACAGGTGAAGCAGTAAACTGTGTGTTAAGAGCAACAGCTGCTGGTGCAGTGTTACAGCCAGGGTGCACTGCTTTTACTGGAGCACACACCATCAGTTTCTAGACCAGAGACTAAACTGAGGGTATATGTGCTTATAGACCCTTCCACTCAAGTGGTCTTTCACACCATGTATCCAGGGGAAAACAACCTGTGTCAGCGCTCAGAGGAGAATGTGTGTGTGTGTGTGTTTGTGTAGGGTGCATGTGTGTGAGAGAGAGAGACTGACCTCTAACCTGTCCCCTGGTCTGCAGCACGGCAGGGAGGGCCAGAGAGCGGTGTTCTCCCTGGTGTGTAGAGACTCTGCTGGAGAGCAGATGGGTTGAGGAGGAGAGGCTGTCCTGGTCAGCATGGTCCATAAGGAGAATAAAGACAGGTGAGGAACCATCTGATCTGCAGCACACACATCTACTGGGTGTGCAGGGTTTTGTTCCATCCCAGCACTAACACATCTGTTTGAGTTAATCAAGGTCTTGATTATTACAGTAGGTGTTATTAAGTCAGGATCAGGATGTGATAAAAAATAGAATCAAAATCAAATCAACGTTTATTGGTCGTGTACACAGTTTAGCAGATGTTATATGATGCAGCGAAATGCTTGTGTTACTAGCTCCTAACAGTGCATTATAATGTCAAACAAGTACCCAAATAATAAATAATCAAAAACTAGAAACAAGAAATCAAGAATGTCAGAACGAATCAACAACCTAAATAACACTGTATCAGTAATCCAAATGCAATCTATGTGTAAATACACCAAAAATATATGTTAAGAATGATATGTACAGCAGTAGTTATATTACACTGAGATATGTCAAGAATCCAGTATATAAATAAATGGTGTGTATAAACAGTGTAACTAAAATGTAATGTACAGTAGTAGATATATTAGAATGAGCTATGTGAGAATACAGCACAGTGCCTTCAGAAGGTATTCACACCCCATAACCTTTTCAACATTTTGTTGTGTTACAGCCTGAATTTAAAATAGATTCAATTTAGATTTTTTTGTTCACTGGCCTACAGTGGTGGAAAAAGTACTCAATTTTCATACCTGAGTAAAAGTAAAGATACCTTAATAGAAAATAACTAAAGTAAAAGTGAAAGTCACCCAATAAAATACTACTTGAGTAAAAGTCAATAAGTATTTGGTTTTAAATATACTTAAGTATCAAAAGTAAATGGAATTGCTAAAATGTCTTAAGTATCAAAAGTAAAAGTATAAATCATTTCAAATTCCTTATATTAAGCAAGCTATTGACGGATAGCCAGGGGCACACTCCAACACTCAGACATAATTTACAAACGAAGCCTTTGTGTTTAATTAGTCTGCCAGATCAGAGGCAGTAGGGATGACCAGGGATGTTCTCTTGATAAGTGTGTGAATTGGACCATTTTCCTTTCAAAATGTAACGAGTACTTTTAGGTGTCAGGGAAAATGTATGGAGTAAAAAGTACATTATTTTCTTTAGGAATGTAGTGAAGTAAAAGTAAAAGTTGGAAAAAATATAAATAGTAAAGTAAAGTACAGATACCTCAAAAAACGACTTAAGTAGTACTTTAAAGTATTTTTACTTAAGTACTTTAGACCACTGCTGGCCTACACACAATACCCCATAATGTCAAAGTGGAATTATGTTTTTAGACATTTTTACAAATTCATACAAAATTTAAAGCTGAAATGTCTTGAGTCAATAAGTATTCAACCATTTTGTTATGGCAAGCCTAAATAAGTTCAGGAGTAAAAATGTGCTTAACAAGTCACATAATAAGTTGTATGGACTCACTCTGTGTGCAATACTAGTGTTTAATTAAGCCCGAGGGGTTGTAGTATATGGCCAATATACCACGGCTAAGGGCTGTTCTTATGCACGACGCAACGCGGACTGCATGGATACAGCCCTTAGCCGTGGTATATTGGCAATATAACACAAACACCTGAGGTGCCTTATTGCTAGTATAAACTGGTTACCAACGTAATTAGAGCAGTAAAAATACATGTTTAGTCATACTTGTGGTATACGGTCTGATATACCATGGCTTTCAGCCAATCAGCATTCAGGGCTCGAACCAACCAGTTTATAATATGATTTTTTAATGACTACCTCATCTCTGTACCCCACACATACAATTGTCTGTAAGGTCCCTCAGTCGAGCAGTGAATTTCAAACACAGATTCACAAAGACCAGGGAGGTTTTCTATTGGTAGATGGGTAACAAAACAAAAAAGAAGACATTGAATATCCCTTTGAGCAAGGTGAAGTTATTAATTACACTTTGGTGTATCAATACACTACAAAGATACAGGCGTCCTTCCTAACTCAGTTGCCGGAGAGGAAGGAAACCGCTCAGGGATTTCACCATGAGGCCAAAGGTGACTTTAAAACAGTTACAAAGTTTAATGGCTGTGATAGAAAACTGAGGATGGATCAACAGCATTGTCGTTACTCAACAATACTAACCTAATTGACAGAGTGAAAAGAAGGAAGCCTGTGCAGAATAAAAATATTCCAAAACATGCATCCTGTTTGCAATAAGGCACTTAAGTAATACTGCAAACAATTTGGCAAAGCAATTCACTTTTTGTACTGAGTACAAAGCGTTATGTTTGGGGCAAATCCAATACAACACATTACTGAGTACCACTCTCCATATTTTCAAGAACAGTGGTGGCTGCATCATGTTATGGGTATGCTTGTAATCGTTAAGGACTAGGGAGTTTTTCAGGATAAAAAAGAAACGGAATGGAGCTAAGCACAGGCAAAATCCTAGAGGAAAACATGGTTCAGTTTGCTTTCCACCAGACACTGGGAGATGAATTCACCTTTTAGCAGGACAATAACCTAAACACAAGTCATAACACTGGAGTTGCTTACCAAGAAGACAGTGAATGATCCTGAGTGGCTGAGTAACAGTTTTGACTTAAATCTACATGAACATCTATGGCAAGACCTGAAAGTGGTTGTCTAGCAATGATCAACAACCAATTTGACAGAGCTTGAAGGATGTTTTAAATAATAATGGTCAAATGTTGCACAATGCAGGTTTTGGAAAGCTCTTAGAGACTTATCCAGAAAGACACAGCTGTAATCGCTGCCAAAGCTGCTTCTACAAAGTATTGACTCAGAGGTGTGAAAACGTATGTACATTTCTGTATTTCATTTTCACTAAATTTGCAAAATTTTCTAAAAACAGGTTTTCACTTTGTCATTATGGGGTATTGTATGTAGATGGGTGAGATAAAAAAAAAAGGTAATCCGTTTTGAATTCAGGCTGTAACACAACACAATGTGGAATAAGTCAAGGGGTATGAATACTGTATACGAGGCACTGTACACGAAAACACAGTGTGAAAAATAGTATAAAAGGAACAGGAAGTGTCCAGTGTTTAATGTCTTTATGTACACAGAATGTACAAAACATTATGAACTCCTGCTCTTTCCATGACATAGACTGACCAGGTGAATCCAGTTGAAAGCTATGATCCCTTATTGATGTCACTTGTTAAATCCACTTCAATCAGTGTAGATTAAAGAAGGATTTTTAAGCCTTGAGACAATAAAGACATGGATTGTGTATGTGTGCCATTCAGAGGTGAATGGGCAGGACAAAATATTTAAGTATGGTTGTAGGTGCCAGGCACACCGGTTTGTGTCAAGAACTGCAACGCTACTGGGTTTTTCACGCTCAACACTTTCCCTTTCCCGGTTTGTATCAAGAATGGTCCACCACCCAAAGGACATTTAGCCAACTTGGCACAACTGTGGGAAGCATTGGAGTCAACATGGGCCAGCATCCCCGTGGAACGCTTTCGACACCAATGTAGAGTCCATGCCCCAACGAATTGAGGCTGTTTTGAGGGCAAAGAGGGGTTGTGCTTTGTAGTCTCTGTGTACATGGGACAGCAGCATTGGCTGTGTGTGTGTGTGAGAGTGTGTGTGCGTGTTTGTGAGTATGGGCGTATACGTGTGTCATATACACTCACGTGTGTGAGTATATATGTGAGTAAAGGAGTAGGCTTATTCTATAATAAAGGTGTCATACATGGTTTTGAAAGTTTTACTATGAGAAAAGGTTAAGAAAAGTGTTACTTGTGTTCTCTGCAGCAGATTGGAGGCGGCGGTGGTGGATAACAGTGATGGCTCCTATTCCGTCTACTACACCCCCGTGGAGCCAGGGTTCTACTCTGTGTGGGTGTGTGTCAAGGCCCAACACATTAAGGTACTGTACCAACCCCGGGTCAGGGGTCAGCATGCCCCTGTATTTCCATTTTCTATTCAATTATTCCTACTGTCATTTCTGTCATTAATTTCCGTTCACTTCTTTTCTCCTCTAGGGTTCCCCTTTTGTCCTAAACGTGAAGAGAAAGGTCCGGCGGCACGTTCCACTGCTGTTCTTTCTGTTCCAGTGGGGGTTCTAAGGAGGCGCGCTGTGGCTGCACCGGTACCATGCAAGGTAGGTACAGCAGACTACAGAGTACTTGGCTAGGAATGTTTGAAATGGGAAATATAATATATACAATTATCTGTGGAACTCGGCGAGGCCACATCTAAACTCAGCAAAAAAAGAAACGTCCCTTTTTCAGGACCCTGTCTTTCAAAGATAATTAGTAAAAATCCAAACAACTTCACAGATCTTAATTGTAAAGGGTTTAAACACTGTTTCCCATGCTTGTTCAATGAACCATAAACAATTAATGAACATGCACCTGTGGAACGGTCATTAAGACACTAACAGCTTACAGACGGTAGGCAATTAAGGTCACAGTTATGAAAACGTAGGACACTAAAGAGGCCTTTCTACTGACTCTGAAAAACACCAAAAGAAAGATGCCCAGGGTCCCTGCTCATCTGCATGAACGTGCCTTAGGCATGCTGCAAGGAGGCATGAGGACTGCAGATGTGGCCAGGGCAATAAATTGCAATGTCCGTACTGTGAGACGCCTAAGACAACGCTACAGGGAGACAGGACGGACAGCTGATTGTCCTCGCAGTGGCAGACCACCTGTAACAACACCTGTACAGGATTGGTACATCCGAACATCACACCTGCGGGACAGGTACAGGATGGCAACAACAACTGCCCGAGTTACACCAGGAACGCACAATCCCTCCATCAGTGCTCAGACTGTCCGCGATAGGCTGAGAGAGGTTGGACTGAGGGCTTGTAGGCCTGTTGTAAGGCAGGTTCTCACCAGACATCACCGGCAACAACGTCGCCTATGGTCACAAACCCACCGTCGCTGGACCAGACAGGACTGGCAAAAAGTGCTCTTCGCTGACGAGTCACGGTTTTGTCTCACCAGGGTTGATGGTCGGATTCGCGTTTATCATCGAAGGAATGAGCGTTACACCGAGGCCTGTACTCTGGAGCGGGATCGATTTGGAGGTGGAGGATCCGTCATGGTCTGAGGCGGTGTGTCACAGCATCATCGGACTGAGCTTGTTGTCATTGCAGGCAATCTCAACGCTGTGCGTAACAGGGAAGACATCCTCATGTGGTACCCTTCCTGCAGGCTCATCCTGACATTACCCTCCAGCATGACAATGCCACCAGCCATACTGCTCGTTCTGTGCGTGATTTCCTGCAAGATAGGAATGTCAGTGTTCTACCATGGACAGCGAAGAGCCCGGATCCCAATCCCATTGAGCACGTCTGGGACCTGTTGGATCGGAGGGTAAGGGCTAGGGCCATTCCCCCCAGAAATGTCCGGGAACTTGCAGGTGCCTTGGTGGAAGAGTGGGGTAACAACTCACAGCAAGAACTGGCAAATCTGGTGCAGTCCATGAGGAGGAGATACACTGCAGTACTTAATGCAGCTGGTGGCCACACCAGATACTGACTGTTACTTTCGATTTTGAACCCCCCTTTGTTCAGGGACACATTATTCCATTTCTGTTAGTCACATGTCTGTGGAACTTGTTCAGTTTATGTCTCAGTTGTTGAATCTTGTTATGTTCATACAAATATTTACACATGTTAAGTTTGCTTAAAATAAATGTAGTTGACAGTGAGAGGACATTTCTTTTTTTGCTGAGTTTAGTACTGGTGCAGGGACAATGCTAGGTATGTCCTCTATGGGCAATATGCCAATTAGGTGCAGCAGAGTGAAGGCTACTACAGGAGCGGTATGCTAGGTATGTGCAGAATGGGAAATGTGCTTTGTCTGGTGCGCTGAGTGGACAAGTCACATCAGGTAACAGTAAGTCTGTGTCTGTAAGTCTTGAAGTGTGTGTCCGCTGTCCACCATGACATTAAGCACCAGACAGATTTACTAAGCATTTGCACAACGGTCACGATAGCTTTGCTTTTAATCTCTTACTCCTTTCTGAAAATATCAGGTACAAAACTATGAATATTAACACTCTTGCCTTTTGTGTGTGCAGGAGGGTTCCAGGGCTCTGGTCACGGCCATAAGGGTCACCCTGGTAAACACCACTGGTCGTGCTGTGGCAGTGTGGTGGAGGCATCCGAGTGCCTGCCCCGGAGTGTGATAATGGCAGTGGGGGGAACAGTAACAGCAGTGGGGGGGACAGGGACAGGCTCGCCCCGGGGCCATCTCAGAACAGTGGAGCTCTGAGGGACAGGACCAGGACACCCCTACCACCACCAGACATGGGTCTTCAAATCAACCCTTTCAGATGATTAACGAAATACTGGGAAAGAAGTGGTACAGTGGGGGGCTAAAAGTGAGAAGAATGAATGTAACAAAAAAAAGAACTTGAGAGGCAGCATTACTTATGACACATTTTCTATATAATATATACACAAGCTGTAGATTTTAAACACACTACACAAAACAATCTTTGTTGTTTTAAGGAGATCCACTACTTTTACTACTCTAACTATTCTGTCGATTATATTGTTTTGCATGAGCATGTTACTTGGCATCACCAAACTGACTTTGTGCCTTTTATGTATTTGAAAGATCATTCTCTTTCATCTTAAAAAAATCACACGGGCATCACTTGATGATGTGTCGGTACAATATTAACAACAGTTATGAGGTTTCCATCCTGAATACAAAGCATTACATTCATAATAAATGTAGTCATGGTTTAGAATACACAATAGGGTGGTAGTTTGTTGTCACTGCAGTTCCTCTCTCCACCACTTGATGACAGTAGTGTGCTATTTACTCCTATATCAGCCCATCATACCATCTCTGATGGAAATATTCCATTACACAAGAGCGCCTTAGAGAATAGTTATTAGTGGGGACAGTGCCTAATCAAGCGTGATACCTATTTAATTACGCTCTATTGGAAATGAGTAATAATGCAATGACCGTTACATTACATTACCATGTTTAGTTTGTTTTACAGTTGTTGATGTTGCCTACGTGGAAGCTGTACCACTATTTGTTGGTTGAAAAGCTGACTGGTATCATTGTGTTAGACCTGTTCATCGTAGAATCCAGTTTCCAGCCCAACTTGGGTAACATATTAGTAAATTCCCTTTGGACCAGATGGATACAGCACATAGGCCAGATAGAGTACACTGAGCAGGAGGAATCAACTGCATTGTAGCTATTGTTCCATGGTGCGATGAGTAGAGTCAGAGATGATTTTCTTTGTGTGTGTGTGTGACATAAATAAAGACTCCGACAATGGGTCACTCTGAACACAGTGTAACCTGATTTCAGACAGGCCAGAGCCATATCCATCACTCTAACGTACTTACATAGCTATAAATTGACCCTACATCACACAGGAGAGTGGAGTGCCCCATGGCAATCTCCAGGCAATATTATGAACCTGGCCATACAGGACCGAATCTACAGATACTTGGGCCTAAAAGAGCCAGAAATAAACTGGAAGCCAGAGTTCCTGAATACTAGACAGTTCAATTATCCCCACAAACACTGCTCTGACTGACTGAGTCTCCATCAGAGCATCTGATTCCAAACACCACCCATCCAGTCCTGTTTGTGGAGCTCTGTTTATCTAGTACACCTGTCCGTCATGTCACATCATCACCTGGGACTCGTCATCTGTGTTCTTGGCACCATAGGATGGCACAGAGACACCCCATTAACTGGAACATCAGATATGGAGTAACCCTCACCAACCCCCTCCCCATATTATCATCACCGGAACATACAATTGACAGATACCCTCTCTGACGTAGCATGGGAGCCTATCCTCTTGCCCTGGCACAGAGCCACTGGGTTGTTTGATGGTACTCTACTTTATTGACTGGGTTTAAACTGTCGTAATTCACCCTCCCGTTCACACGGCGCTCCAAAGTCAGATGCTGTTTCATAATGTTATGTTTACCTGCTGGAGTATGGCATATCATTTGCTGCACCAAGGCCTCATCTTTCTAAACCTTAATCTCCCTCACCCTCTCTTTCTCTCACTTGTTCTCTCTTTGTTTATTTTTCCCCCTCCACACTTCTTTTGTCTCTTGACGTGTTTGTAATGAGCACTTTGTCTTTGCTGCATTGTTTTGTTGGGCTTAAAGTTCACCATGTGTCCTCTCCAGGCCAATGATTCGTACCCCTCTGACATTGATAACCAGAGGTGCAGCGAAGCAAACGGCCCCCCTCCCTCCGGAACTTGGTATGGCTTTAAAGGTGTCAGCCCTTTTGTGTCAGCTCAGCATTTTTGTTTTGGTGTCTTTTTAGGCAGAGAGCCAGCCACACAAATGTACAATTTGTGAGCGAGCATGACTCACATGATGCGTCTCCAAAGAGGACTCTACAGTGATTACGGCACACTCTGTGCCACAGCACTGCACTACTAATTCACTCAGTAAGGGGTGTCACATAAATCCACCCTGTGGTGCGGAGTGGGGCCCGAGCTAATGGCAGCTCAAGGACCCACTGACTGACTTGGGCTCCATCCCCCCCACTCAGCAGGACGTGACCACGTTTCAAGATGGATTTACTTTATGATGTGTCAAGAAATCTGACATACTGTAAAATGGGCAGACAAGACAACACAACCATTATCATACCTTATCCACTGTGTTTAAAGTTGAAGACTGAAGAGATACTTTCAGACTTGGGGTAAAAGTGGGCAGAAAACACATTTGGTCTGGGAGTCGGGATCAAAAGTAGCACTCTGATTGTAAGCTGACAGACTGGAGATGATTAACTGTGCGCTTTGTTTCCCCACGCTAGGCAAAAAGAGAGTGTATTTTATTGGATCTAGGATCATCTTGTGTCCACTAAATGTCTTTCTACAAAATTACAATGTTGTTTTAGACACTTCAAAAAACGTCCACTTTCCCATAATTCCCTTACCCTTAACTGAAGGCCTTGCAAATAGTCTCCCTAGGCAGATGGGTTGTCTCCCACAATGTTAACAATGTTGCCCTAGGGCCCTAGGTCTGGAATTTCCAGGACTAGCCAAGTGGTTCCCAACCTTTTTCTGTTACCAACAGAATTTTGCTCTGCCCAGAGTACCCCTGAAGAATGGAAGCTCATTCCCGCCATCATTTTGTTTTGTATGTCAATACTATCTCAACATTTCGAGATACTAAGTACACATTTTTTTATATTAAATAAACCTTACGAGATACTAACTCGAAATGTCGAGGTAGTAGAACATACACTACCATTCAAAAGTTTGGGGTCACTTAGAAATGTCCTTGTTTTTCGAAAGAAAAGCAATTTTTTTGTCCATTAAAATAACATCAAATTGATCAGAAATACAGTGTAGACATTGTTAATGTTGTAAATGGCTATTGTAGCTGGAAATTGCTGATTTTTAATGGAATATCTACATAGGCGTACAGAGGCCCATTATCAGCAACCATCAGTCCTGTGTTGCAATGGCACGTTGTGTTTGCTCATCCAAGTTTATCATTTTAAAAGGCTAATTGATCATTAGAAAACCCTTTTGCAATTATGTTAGCACAGCTGAAAACTGTTGTGCTGATTAAAGAAGCAATACAACTGGCCTTCTTGAGACTAGTTGAGTATCTGGAGCATCAGCAATTGTGGGTTCGATTACAGGATCAAAATGGCCAGAAACAAAGAATTTCTTCTGAAACTCATCAGTCTATTCTTGTTCTGCGAAATGAAGGCTATTCCATGCGAGAAATTGCCAAGAAACTGAAGATCTCGTACAACGCTGTGTACTACTCCCTTCACAGAACAGCGCAAACTGGCTCTAACCAGAATAGAAAGAGGAGTGGGAGGCTCCGGTGCACAACTGAGCAAGAGGACAAATACATTAGAGTGTCTAGTTTGAGAAACAGACGCCTCACATGTCCTCAACTGGCAGCTTCATTAAATAGTACCCGCAAAACACCAGTCTCAACATCAACAGTGAAGAGGCGACTCCGGGATGCTGACCTAGGCAGAGTTGCAAATAAAAAGTCCAGTGTCTGTGTTATGTGGTGCCACCTCTGAAATCACCACACAATGTTACAAATGAATAAACATTTCCTATAAGTATGTTCTACTATCTCGACATTTTTAGATATTATCTAACATTTTATAATTTTTTTCGTGGAGTGAATGAGCTTCCATACTGACCCCTCGTTCATTTTTTCAGTAAGCCTATGGTCTCATGAGTCTTAAGTACTCCCTGTGGATAGGCCAAGTAGCCCCCTGGTTGGGAAACACTGAACCAGGCTACCTTGTAAAGCACTAATTGCTGGATCCATATTCATCCATTGTGCATTGTAGTCTTTCACATAATTATTATTTTTTTATACAAGGACTAGCTACAAAGAACAGTCAGTGCTAAATCACAGACATACACGTTGCAAAAAGACCTTCGTAATTGATAGACGCTCCCTAAATGTACCAGGCTGGGTAGTCGATGCTGGAGATTGTGGGAGGAGCCGTAGTTCGTTGGAGAGTTGCAGCAGTATCAACATCCCTTGATAGAGGCTAGCTAGTTAGATAGCTTTAGAGCTATCGACAATGAAATGAGCAAAGGGAAGGCAAAACTACCCAATTAAATCATAGATAGCTAGCTACCTGAAGACATTTCTGAACACGGCTATTTGGAAACGGTGGACTAGGATGCATGTCTGTCACCGATTTACTCAAAGGCATTATTGAGGTGATGCAGCAGAGGCGAAACATCGTAACGGACCGCATCAGGAGGATAGCTAGCTAGCTAGATGCCTTTACAGAAAAAGGCGCAGTCTTTAGCAGGCCAGCTCTTTTCCTAACCTCAACATATCCGAGAAACGTAGCTAGCTAATATTACAATAAAATATTGCGGGTGCACATCTATGTGTTTAATCAGCTAGCTAAGTTAATGTTATTGCGTTTCTCCTTTAGTAATTTTATTAGCTAGATGGCTAGCCAAGCCTGTCAATTCAGCGGATGAACTTGGTATTCTGTGGAGACTCCGCGCGACATCAGACGCAGGCCCGGGTGAGGAAGCTGATAAAATACAATATATTGGGAATATTCATACAAGCTAGCAAGACAATACCGATTTTTAAGCACATAATTTAACAGGAACATAACTAGCTAGCTAGTTATCATTTAACAGTTATTTTGCTACTATTGAAATGGTCACGGGAGAATTTATATCGGTATTAGAACATTGTCGATGATGCGACAATCTCAGATTTTCATTTTTCACTGTTTGAAAGCCTAAGAAGTGT